ATCGCATTTCTGTGGAGATTCAGTAAGCTGAGATGTACACTCTTCTTAGCATAGCGTCTGGCATAGTGAGGGCGTAGTGAGCGTTCAGTGATTATAGCTACTGCTCTTGTCGCAGAAAAAATTCATCCCATTTCAGAGCTTTTGGGCCCGCATCACCTTTAGCTATTGATCGCAGCATGAATCTGGAATGGGCCGCATGCCCAGAGGGGATTCTGGATGGTGGGCAGTGGTGGACATGGAGAGCTCAGGTCTGTGATCAGCGGGACATTTGGACACTGACTTTGCCAGGGATGGTGATGTGACCTTGCATAAGTCACTTATCTTCTCTGATCCACATTTCAAAAGTGTGTGTGTGTGTGTGTGTGTGTGTGTGTGTGTCTGTGAGTGAAACTTTCATTACAGGTTTTGGGTGGGTGAATGTAAATCCTGCTTTTGGTGAGGATTGATATAAATACGAATAATGCTCAGAGACCGGCCTGGTGTTCCATGTACATTGTGGAACACTTGCTTTGAGGATATCAGCCACATTGGAAAGAGCTGATGCTTTGGACGGAAGTTGCTCGTGTGCAGTTAATTTGAACAATGAAAATAATTGCCTATTTTTCCAGAAAGTTTTACTTTATTTGTGAATTTAGGACTTTTTATTTTCCTTCCAACAATGTGATAGCCTTATTTTTCTGTTGGGTTCCTCTGAGCTTAATTTATCAGTAATCTGTAAATGTTTCTGTCAAACAGTCTGCTCCACAGTTGACCTAACTCTCTGCAATTACACATTAATTTCAATGTACAGTCCACAATTTCCATGAATTATCTATAATTTTCAGTAATCTATAATCCAGTAGATGATTCTATTCCACTCAGTCTAATGGATAAACATCATGTTACTTTCCAAAAAATTAAAAGAGACCATATGAAAGATTGGATGGATCTATTTGATAGAAAATGAATTACTTTAAATAAGAAACTTAGCCTAGGGGCACCTGGGTGGTTTCATCAGTTAGGCAGCTGACTCTTGATTTCGGTAAGGTGATGATCTCAGCATCCTGAGATCATGCCCCACCTCCAGCTCCACTCTCAGCAGGGAGTCTGCTTGAGATTCTCTCTCTTCCTCTCCCTTTGTCCCTCCCCCTGCTCAAGCTCACTCTCTCTCTCTTTCAAATAAGTCTTTAAGGAAAAAAAAAAAGATTCTCTCTCTCCCTCATCCCAACACCCCCCCACACTGCTTACGTGCTCACACACACACTCTCTCTCTCTCTCTCTCTCTCTCAAAAAAAAAAAAAAAAAAAAAATTAGCCTATTAGCTGAATCGTGTTTTAGAGGAATTGAAACATTGTGCGTGGTATTAGGACAAGTGATGTCTTCTTATTTTCATGCCTTTTTTTACTTGAAAGACTAGTACAGAATGTCCAACACTTACATATAATTGGTATGATTTCTCATATTTTAAATGGCTCAGGCTGAGAGTTTAAGGAAAGAAGCTTATATGAATGAGTGAGAAGCCATAACTTTCCAGGGTTTCTCCTGGTTGGTTATTGACTAAAGTGCAAGCTGGTTTGTCTCAGCTAGGGCTGCAATGCCAAGGGTAAGCATGGTGTGATATCAACACATACCCTGTACCTGTGGATCTTAACTCTTTTTGGTTATAAGCCTCTGTAAGAATCAGGAGGCAGTTATGGACATGCTTCTCAGAAAATGACACTTTCTCCTTTCCACAAAGCTTGACATAGAATGCTGGGGAGTTCGCATGATCTCCTGACTTCCCTCCACCTCTCCCTCCCCTCACCACAGTTCACTGAACATGGAGGCTTCCTCTCCCTGTGCTTGACCACACTGATTTTTTTCTTTTTACTGACACGAGTTGGATATTTCTGGAAACCAGAAGTTAAAGACTAGTCAGAGAATTTTCATGATACGATGAGAAATATACATATTGGTCTTTGTCCCCGGTTCCTGTCACACAGCTACTGGAGCCCTTGGAATCTCCAGAGTGACAGAAGTGTCTTGTATGCTAGTGGGATGACTAGTGGTTGGGGCCCCTAACAGCTTCGGGATGGACGGCTGGTTGCCAGAAAAACAGGGGCATGTTTAGAGAGTTGGAGTTTTCAGCCCCACCCACAACCTCCAGGGAAGGGAGAGGGGCTAGAAATTGGGTTAATCACCAATGGCCAGTAATTGAATCAATCATGCCTATGTAATGAAACCTCCATAAAAATCCTTAAATAATAGGCTTGGAAGAGCTTCTGGGTTAGAGAACACATCAAGGTGCTGGAAAGGTAGAACGCCTGAAGGGGGCATGGAAGCTCCAAGCTCCTGCCCCTTAACATTGCACTGTGCATCTCTTCCATCTGACCGTGCCTGAGTTGTATCCCTTGTAATGAATTGGCAATAGTAGGGAAAGTTCTGTGGTAAAGTAGGTAGTTTCCTGAGTTCTGTGAGCCGTTCTAGCAAATTATTGAACCTGAGGAAGGGGTCATGGGCACCCTCAGTTGGTAGCCGATCCTTCAGGAGCGCAGGTGGCCACCTGGGACTTGCAACTGACATTTGAAATGGGCCTGGACCCTTAAACTGCGGCGTCTGCACTAATGCTATGTAGTTAGTGTCAAAATTGAACTGAATTGTAGGACACTCAGTTGGTGCCCAGAGAATTAGAGAATCGATTGGTGTGGGGAAACACACATTCAGTGTCAGATGTGTTGTAGGTAAAGGCAGTTCAGAATTTTGCCCTCCCGTTAAGAGTAATTATAATATAATGTTCCACAGTAATTAAGGGTACAAGTTCAAGTACTCACATGCCACCTGGCTGTGTCTGCTACAGTCAGGCTCCTTTGGATGTTCCTATGTACTTTAGATGCACTCCATTTTAGTTTAAGCTTGTTTGGATCTACCTCTACTCCCTAAAAACAATTTCTCCCTATCAAAATCAACAAGCCTCTCCTCACTTCACACCCACTAGGGTCAATCAAGAAGGGTAATAACGAGCATTGTTGAGGATGCGGAAAAATTGCAACCCTCTTACACTGCTGGTAGGAGTGTCAAATCGTGGAGTCATGCTGGAGAACAGCCTGGCAGTTCCTCAAAAGGTTAAACACAGAGTTGACAACTCTATGGCAACAATTCTACTCCCAGATATATATCCAAGAGAAATGAAAATGTATGTCTACACAAAAATTTATAAAACTAGCAGCATTATTCATAATAGCCAAAATGTGAAAATAACCCAAATGCCCATCAACTGATGAACGCAACTATAAAATGTGGTATATCCATAGAGTGAATATTAGTCAGCAGTAAAAAGAAATGAAGTAGTGTATACTACAACTTGGATGAACCTTGAAAACATTATGCTAAGTAAAAGAAGCCAGTCCCAAAAGATCCTATGTCCTATGGGTCCATTTATATGAACTGTCCAGAAATGGTAAATCCATAGAGACAGAAAGCAGATTGGTGGTGCCAGGGACTAGGAGGGGGATGGAAAAGGGGAGTGACAAGTTCACAAGCATGGAGTTTCTTATTGAGGTGATAAAAATATTCTAAAATGGATTGTGGTGATGATGGTCGTGCAACTATGTGAATATACTAACAGCTATTGGACTATACACTTTAATCGTATGGTATTTAATTTGTATGGTATATGAATTACATCTCAATAAAGCTGTTCCCAAAAAAGAATACAGGCTCCCAAAAAAGGATCCAGGCTGTGTGTGTTTGAACACCTGTGGAAGTTGTGGTGTCCAGTGACAGGGATTTGGGTGCAAGTACTGTATTTGGAAAGATATTTCGGGAAGCATAGTCAGGAAATAGGGAAGCGAGGTAGGGAAGGAAGGAAAGCCAATAAAGGGACATTAGTGAGTGAGTTATCTTTGTGGGCAACTGGGGCTCCCTCCTTCTGGGACTGAGCAAAGGCTTTGGAGACCACAGTTCGGAATTGTTCCTCCAGGGAATGAGAAATCTGGGTTGTTCCAATGAATGCCGACTTCCTAGGACTTCCAGCCTGCCCCACACAAAGGCCAAGCATGCTTCTACAACCAGAGGAAGCCCACAGACAAGAAGAGAGACAGAGACAGAAACACAGAGGCAAATAGAAAGATAGGCATGCAGGTACTTGAGGTAGGAAGCAGAGTATACAAGAACTGTTCCCCAAACCTACAGCGATGTCTAGGGTGACTGAGCACTGCCAGGGTCTGCTCACAGGGGTGTTACCTAACCACTCTGTACCTTGCTTCCTGCATCCTTAAAATGGAGAAGATAATAGCTCCTATCTCATAAGGGTGCCGTGCGGATGAATGAGTTAACGTATCTGAGTATTTGAGACAGCCAAAAAAATTTATCTTGGAACTTTGTTTTTTAAACTTCTGACTTATCCATGATCATTTCTCTTCTGAATGGGCTTCTAACAAGATAGAGAAGAAATCCAGCTATTATAAGTGTCAAAGAAAAATAGAATCATTGCCGAGAATAGTCTTCTTATTAGGCCCTCTTTGTGTGCTACCAGCTTTGAATGGCTGCCTTTTGAAAGGAACCATATGCTTTGTGAGCACATTAGGCAGATGCCCAACGCAGTAAGATCTGTTCCCGGAGCAGCTCTATCATCTCTGTCTTGCTCTTCTATTTCCCAGAAACTGTTGGTAGGCTTCAAGCAAGAGAGATTCATCACAGCACTCTTTGGTACTTTTCTTTGTGTCTCTCCCTATTTTCCCAAAGCTATGTTCTGAGGATAGTAGACCCTGGGGAGCTTTCTTTCTGTGAAGCTTCAATAGTGTGGGGACTGAAGCCAGTGGCTGCCATCCCAGGCAATTCTGAGCTATACTTCTGTCAAAGGCATTTACACTTGGTATGTTTCATTGCTCGTGGAGGATTAAAACCACCCAGTTGGGGAACAACCAGGGTAAAATAGGGTTAAAAAAAAAAATCCAACTGCATTACATCGACCTCAAGCCCTCATGATTAAAACCTAATTTAAGGATGTGTTCACCCAAGAAAATCTCTCTGGATTGTTTCAGGCTGTGACTCTTCAATTAAGCTGACATTTCACAAATCCAAAATTACTGCAGATGAGCTCTTCGCCTCGCTTCGGGATATCGCTGGAGCTCGGAATCTCATGAAACAGTTTAAGTCTGTATATGTTCCTGGAAATCATACCCACCAGGCAAGTACATATGTTTTAAAGTAACCATCTAATCTGTGTTGGATTTTTAGGATTCAGAGACCGCAAAAGGAAATTTCCATCTTAGCCTCTCTAAAACGAGGGATTTGTTCTAGATGAACTCCAAGCACCCTTCCAGTTCAGAGTTCTGGGTTCCCCTGAATGTGAAAGCCTCTTGATTCATTTGCACTTATAGGCTTGATACAGGGAGTTGAGCACCGGATTGGGGGCCAGCCACTGCTCTATAGCTGTCACATATTTGGTAACCTTAAGCAAAAGTCCCTTTACTTCGTTGCGCCCTAGTTACTATTGGTGCAGGGGAGGGGCTGTGGCCTTCTGTGATTCCCAAGCTTCTAGATCTAAGCACTCCCTAAACATTCTGAACAATTAGAACAAAATTACTTAGTAATACTATGGCAAGGAAAAAAGAAGTTTGTGACAGCAAAACCTTTGTTATTAACATTCCCCCACCACTTCCTAAGGGCAGTGGGGGAACTTTAGAAGGGTGTTTTGAACAGTGAGTAGGAAGATGGTATGAGAATCCAAGATTATAAGCTCAGTGAGAGAGGGGCCCCAGAGAGACCCAAAGGGAAGCTTAAGGAGTGAAGAAAGGCTGGAGTCATTGAGGCTGGACAGTGTCTGTTGGACAAGGATGGAGACACAACTAAGGTTCCTGGCAGCCAAAGATAGCTTTGAAGGAAGAACAGATGTTTCTGACGGGAAAAATAATTCGTGGAGTGTGTGCAAGCATCTTCTCCTTCATCTCCCCATGAGATATCAGTAAAATCCACTCTGTTTGCTATGGCTCCTTGGGGAGCTGAATGTGCTGTTAGTGGGGACTCTGCCATAGCGAGGGGTTCAGCATCAGGATGCTGACCCTTTAAGGTGGGCATATAGATGAAAGCTAAGGTTATCTGCGATAGTAGCCTAGCCAAATTCAGACTCTTCCTCCCGTATATTCTTACAGTACTGATACTTGAAGAGTGCTCCCACATTGGGCTTGTCCTTTGATCCTCACAAGAAGTAAGCCAGGAAGGCCACATGACTTGCCACAGAACCACAGGTGGCCAAGGCCAGATGCCAGGTTTTGGCTGCCACTACGAAACTTCCTCCCCACTCTACCATGGATCTCATGGAGGCTCTAGAAGTACTGATTGATGGTGCTGATGGGCATCTGAAATCACCCACCAACATATGAAAGACCTCAACTTAGTAACATAAATTCCCATCCTTTGTTCAATGACCTGAGAATGCCACCACCACAAAATACAGATAAAGTCACTCAGATCATTCATCGTATGTAGTTTGGTCATTAAAAAAATCACCAATCTTAAATACAGCAGTATGGACTAGTTCTAGAAGACATAGAACTGGTGATTTATGATGAGATTTAGACCAAAGAATGTCAAGAAGCAAGTGGCTGCTATAGTTGGCAAAGTGCAAAGAAACCATTAAGTTAATAAGCTCTTTTCAGTTTTATGATTATCATTGTGACCAATTTAGCCAAATTCACATAAACATGCATTAGCCATAAATCTTGGGCATAATTAGGACAGTGATAAATTTCCTAGACTTAATCTCTCTGCTGCCAACACTGTCATTTCTCCAGACCCCGGAACCCTTTCCTGCAGCCATTGCCTTTGGAAAATGAATTTTTCCTTTGTTGTATATACTCTCTTACAGTGAGTCAATGACATCAACCCATTAACTGAAAATCCTAAATGTCAGTGAGCAGGAAGTAGGGGCAAGGTGGGGAGTATGTGTGAATCTGAAGGGGATTTAGTAAATAATGATACAGACACATGCTCTGAAATGTTGTGCAGCCATTAAAATGAATGAGACAACTCCAAGCATGCTTAGCAGGACTCTATGTGAATCCTTGGCTCAGGCTCTGCTTCTTGGAGAACTCAGACTAAAACAGAGGTTTATGATCTGTTAGGTGAAAAAAAAAATGTAGATCATTCTGTCAAGCATTTTTCTATTTTTGTTTAGAAAATAAAAAAATAAAAAGTATATGGGTATGTATATTTAATAATTCTTTAAAAATTAAGGAAAACTTTATAATGGTTGCCTTGTAGGGGGTGGGAAAGGTTGGATGGACAAGGAGGAACTCTGACTTCCTGCTTTATGTGGCTAGAGAAAGAGTTTTTGATGGGATTATCGGTGATTTTTACCTGTTTGGGTTTTTTGATAATTTTTTAATTTAAAGTTTTCAATTGTAGATGTAAGCCCAGTGAGGACAGGAATTTTGATCTGGTTTATTCACTGCCATATCCTCAGTGTGTAGAGTGGCATTTTCTATATAGTGCATGCTTAATGAATATTTGTTGGCGGCATCTTGAATGCAATACATATATTTTTATCATATATTGGAGGATTTGAGGGCATGCAAAATATGTATAATGAGAAAAAAGCAAATGTCGAGACTAGATTCAGAGTCCAACTGTGGGCCTTGACTGGGCAACTTTCTGTCCATCTCTTCTCCCAACTTGGTCCTCAGCCCTGAGGCTCTGGCGGGGCACGAGGTGGGGGGGCTCGGAGAGTGTGTTTTCTATCTAGCTCCATGCTGTTTCTACACAGCGTCTAGCTGAGATGTTCTGGGCTCGCTGCGATACCCAGGAAAGCACTAAACCTGGTCCAGCTCCAGATTTCTGTTCCAGCTCTGACCAGTGCTATGAATTTAGGCTCTCTCCCCTGGATCCCGGGGCCCCTACCTGCCCCACGTGCCCTCCTGGCACCCCTCTCTCCTACTCCAGAGCACAAGCTGCCTCTCAGAACCACTCCTTTCACCCCTGCTAGCACCTGAGGCACCTCTTCTTTAACCTCCATCCTTTAGCCCTCTGAGAAAGTGTGTCAGCCACAGCCCAGAAAGCAGACATCACTCTCTTCATTTCAAGGAGAACATGATTTCATACAAGACATTGAGTACATATAAAGTCTCTGGAAGAGCTGGAGGAGTGGGATCTAGACTGCTTCTCCAGAAATGATCCCAGAAGATCACCACACACCTGGCCCTCCAAGAGAACCAGCCCTGCTGCAGCCAGGAGAGTGGACATGATGGGGACCATGAGGCCGCCGCTGAAGCTCTTGACTTGCAGAACATACTACAAATGCCGGACACGGCATCCATGTTTGTTCACATGGTGTATCTGCAGAGCCTAGCTCAGTGCTTGCCTCCTAGTGGGTGGGTGGGCAGGTGAATGGATGGATGGATGGATGGATGGATGGATGGATGGATGGAAGGGCTCTGGACTGTGAGTCTTATCCACAGTGGCATTTCTTATGCTCTTAATTCTTAGTGAAACGGAGGTTAGCAGCAGCATGTGAGTTCATAGCCCCGCAGAGCAGCATTCAGTTCACAGGTCCAGAGCCCTACCACCTGTATGGCCTTAAACAGGTTACTTCACCTCTCTGTGCCTAGTTCCTCCACTGTACGAAGGAGCTAATAATACTAATACCTCCCTCATAAAGATGCTCAAAGATAGGTGAGTTGATACATGCAAAGCTTTTAGGACAGGAGCTGACACAGACAGCACTATGTAAGCATTTGCTGTAACAGTTGCAGTAAAGAGCAAAATAGGCCTCTTTTTTGGTCCTCTTTTGTAGCATTTTACCTTTTCCTTTGCTAGGAGATGGGCCTCATAGAAGGGGAGTCATTCTCAAGCGACTGTACTATTAGCTGCTGTGTATGGTAAGGGCTTATTACTGACGCCCGTTGGTTTGGAAAGGTTGTGTTTGCTCATAGACTCTGTTGAGTGGAAACCTGAGCCCACAGTTTTGCCTGTGCAGCAAGTCTTATGCTTTTGTTTCTTGCTGCGAATGTTCTAGTTTAATGGGAGGCTTAACCTCCTCCCTAAACGCCAGTGTTTTGATGTGCCGCTTTTCCTCAGCAGCAGCATCAGGAGGCTATTAGGCCAATGTCTCAGGGCAAAGAGCTTCTGGGCCCTTTCAGACGAAATACTGTATGACTCTTGCTTGACTTGCTTTGGCAGAAGTCTCAAAGTGCTGTGCTGGAGAAAACTTTCCACAGATGCGTACTGTCTTTTGTGCTCTGGCAGGCTCAACAAGAGTATTTAGAACCAGTGGTGCCCAAGGAGGCCTAATTCATCTGGTGCCTGGTGAAATATGGCTCTCTGAACAGTCTGTAGGCCCCGTCTCTTTGTCAACAATCCCCAGCCCTGGCTGTTCTTTTCCAAGTGCTGAGCTCTCTTCTTCTTCCTCCTGATTCTATCTTCCTCACTCCAGACCTGCTAGTGCCCTTTTGGAAAGAAGCAACACAAGATGGGACTAAACTGGGGGCCAGGAGACTTGGCTCTGTCCTGTAGTCCGCTTCTAACTGCCTGTGTAAACTCAAGCAAATTAGTAAATTGCTTTGGGCTTAGTTTTTTTTTTTTTCATATTGAAGTTGAAGGGACTACACTCAAAATTTCACAAAGTAATCTGCTTCTGGTGTGAAGGAAAGATGGATGGATGGATGGGTAGATGGATGAACAGATAGGCAAATGAACCACTTTTTAATCTGCAGAGCAAACAATTTCCTTTAAGAAGATGAAGGGGGGAAAAAAATCAGTGATAGTAAAGCAAAAAATAAAAATAAATGAGCCATGGAACAGCCAAAGCCATCAGCAGTTTTGAACAGATGTTTTTCTGTACAGTCATGGATTGAGACAAAATGAATACTCTCTCTACAAGAGTATTAGAATCAATTTTGCAGAGAAGGAAGAAGCATCTTCAATAATAGGACTGAGACGGCCCATGGCTGCACCAACACCAATCAACAAAGCCAAGGGCAGCAACGCTGAATGATGGGGATGTAGTTGTGGCAACAACTCAGGTTTTCTTGGAAACTGATTATCTAGGACCATCTTAAAGGTGCACCAAATTCAGGAATATGTTGGAGTTTAGACTGGTTTCTAGAAATTGTCTCTGACTTATGTATAATATCAGAAACTACTGCTATACTCAATAGCTTTGTTCAAGAGCTAGAATCAGATGAATAAAAG